TTTTTTTATTAATGAAAGTGAGCCTCCAGGGAGAATATAAAGGGAAAAGAGAAGTTCGAAGGGCAGATCTCTAGGGAACACCAGCAACCATGAAGCCAATAAAAATGTCAGAAGAGCCAGTGCCAAACGAGGGTGGTGGTGTGAGGGTGCAGGGGCCATTCTGCAGTGTCCGGGACAGAGGTCTGGACAGTGAGGAGTGCTGGGGTCACTGGCGCCGAGAGCTCAAGGGTCAGTGCTCACCTTTTCCCAATCATTACGGGTCAGGGCAGCAGTCCACTCAAGTGCAGCCGCTTAAGTTAATGAAGATGGGTGGTTGGAGGGGCAATGTGAAAGAACTCTTTCATGAAATTAGTTGGTACCCGAGTTTTCACCTTAACCGGTCGTTTGTTAAGTGTTTCTTCAAGATTTGAGTGCAGTAAAAAAACAATCACTTTCAGCCCTTTCCTATTTATTAAGGTGGCTTCAGGCTCTCCTAAATACAGGTTATTTGTACAGAACGTGCCCATCACCCGGTGAACCCAGTTTGATAAAATTGTTTAAAGGCAGTGGGCCATTTGTGGTACACAAGGTTGGTCTCGGTCGTGTGCAGAAGACGAAAGGACGCTGAGCATCCACTCTCGAACTCACAGAGCTGGAGAAATCCTGGGCCAGTGGGACAGAACAGAACAGGGCAGGCTCCTTGTGCCCTGGGGAGCGGGGGCCCTCGCCCTTCAGGCTGGGCCAGCACTGGGACAGGTGATCCGCTGGCCTGCCTTCTGCTCAGACAGAGCTTCTCAGTTTTTGGGACTTAACATCCCAGTTAATTACTTCAAATCTAGCACCTCCTGAAATCAGCATGAAAGGAAATGGCAAAATGACATTCCTGAAACTCAGTCTGAGCCTCACCTCTGTTTCTAGATCAGGCTCAGCAAACTGTTCTGTCAAGGGTCAGATAATAAACATTTGAGGCTTGATGTACCACACAGACTGTCTCCATCACATACTTTTCTTTGTTTCTTTTTCAACCACTTGAAAGTGTAAAAATCATTCCCAGCTCACAACCATTCACACCAGGGCGTATGGTCCAATATGGCCAGTGGGCCATAGTTTGCCAACCTTTTTTGTACTAGATGCTAGAGTGTGGGTCTCAGGCGTCCATGAACAGCGCCCACAGAACAGTCAGGGTTTCAGTAAGCTGTGTGAAGTCACCACTGTTGGCAGGATATGTTTAGGCAGGATCTGTGCAGCACGGGGTCACCTGTGGCTCCCCCTAGCCCGCCCGGTTTTGGGGGGGCGGGGGGTGCAGGTGCAGGCCAAGCGCTGGAGTCGGTGTTTCTCTGCCACTATCTGGTCCAGCGAGAATGTCATCTCCACAAGGACAAGGACTGTGCTGTTGGTACTCACCGCTGTATCCCAGAATGTGGTTTCTTGTGTTGAGAGCACCCACATTTTGTAAAATAATGGGCTTTCTCTAGCCATGTTGTACTCTTCTCTGTGTGTAGCATCATGTGGTATCTATGCCCAGGACAACTTGCCTCCGCCAGCCTACACGTGAAAGGCCAAGGTCACCCAGCTGGTTAGGGAAGAGCCAGGATTTGGACTCAGCCAGCATGGCTCTGCCACCAGCGCTCCTAGCACCCAAGTGACGCATGGGCAGCTCGTCCTGTGTCACCATCAGGTTCCCATCTCCATACAGATGTGAAAGGATCTCTGTTTTTCACTCCTGTGACTTTTCAAAGCTACATCTCCCTCTATGGTATAAAAAAGTGTTCTGAGACAGACATACAGATTTGTCAAAACTGAGTTTCCCAAAACTCATTGAACTGTACATTTAACATGGGTGTATCTTACCATACAAAAATTATATCTCAATAAAGTTGTTTTTTTTTAAATGTTCTACTCGAAAAGTCAAGTGTGATTTGGAAAGCTTTAATTAAGAAGGAATAAAGTAGAGAAAGAAAGCTTTATTAATCAGAGAGTCCAGCCTCTTCCCAAAAGGTTTTAAAGGCTATGTTTTCTAAGCTGTTTAAAAATCAAGTTATTTTACTTTGACTTTCATCCCCAGGGAAAGGAAAACCTCTTCAACGCAAGGTTAAACCACCTAAGAAGCACGAGGAGAAGGAGAGGAAGGGAAAGGGAAAGCCCCAGGAGGATGAGCTGAAAGACCCCTTGGCTGACGATGACAGCTCGTCCACTACCACAGAGACCTCGAACCCAGACATAGAGCCCCTCCTCAGAGAGGTAGGACGCCTTCCCACAGACCCTGCCGCCGCCAGGGTCTGCCAATACAGCCAAACGTTTACATTGAATGTGTGCGGGCTCTGAGGACTAGTACCCAATGTGTCAGACGTGCCTGCACAGCCGCTATCCTGCAGAAAGCAGTCACAGCTCTGGGGATGAATGTCTTTATGTCCCCCAGAGAAGAACAGTGGGGAGCATGTGAATCAAGTAAGATAGCCATTGGAGATGCTCCTCAAAGTGAGGGACTATCTGGGATAGTAATGACTGGCTCATGAAATTTGTTTCAGATTTTAAGTATCCAAGAGGATGTGAAGGAATTATACCATTTTAATTAAATTGAACTTTTCCTGTCATGTCACTGCTGGCACAGAGGGCTTCAGTGGCAGCTCACTCCCCGCACAGGTAAAGCAGTGACTATCCTGGAGGGGAACATGACCCAGGAAACGACCCCTGGCTTTAGTGGGCCCCCAGAACTGGGGACCCAGGCCAGCACACCAAGAAAGCTGCCTCAGTCCTCAGCTCAGCCCTCGGCCTTAGGCATGCTCATCAGCACCAGGAGTACCAGCCTGGTACCAGCAGCCTTGGGGAGTGCAGGGTGGTGGCACCACTGAGGCAGCTCTGAGAGTGAGTTATAAGGCCCATGCAGAAAGGGAAAGGTGTACGCCTGTTCTGGCATTTTTATTTTTAGATAACTATATTTCAGATTTAAAATGATGCTAATGTAGCCTTTCATAGACCAGAATTTCTTTTCCACTTTTAATCTAGTGGCCTGAGGAATCGTTTCATAAAGCTATCACACAGTGTCATCCGCATATACTAATTTTTAGAGTAAAATTTATACATAATTAATTTGGGATCACCTGCCTTCCCCTTTGCATCTCTCACGTTTGGGGTGGTACTCTGTACCCCTCAGTACACGTGGTGGCTTGTATTGGGGTTCTGTACTTGATAACCTTTGACCAGATGATTTCAGAGAAGACAAGTGCCATCTGCTTATCTTTGAGTGGAGCCCCAATAGTGTCAGTGACAGAAATAAGCACTTGGGAGGCATTTTCAGCACACGCTTCTTCACACCTTCCCGCCCTTCCTTTTCTGCCTCTCCAGCCTCTTTCCTGACCACTCCTCATGCCCCCTCTGGCTACCCCATCTCTGTGCGCCTGCTGCCTAATTCTTAACCTGTTGTTCCCTTCCTTCCCCTTCTCTTCTCCCCTGTCCTTTGCATCCTTACACAGCTCAGACCCCGCTGCTCGATGTCTGTCCCCCTCCTCAGCACCCTTCCCGAAGCTTCACCTGCTCTGATTTCTTTGTCACTGGTCTGTTTGCCAGTTGTGTATATTTTCTTCCCCACTAGATTGCAGATGTGACCGGTCATTTTCTCTTGTGTGTCTTTTCAATCCCTGTTCTGCTCATTCATTCCACAAATATGTAATGTGCACCCGAGTGCCAGGCCTTGTGCTGCCAAACAGCAGGGGACAAAAGACCAGGTGATTGTCCTCAAGCTCATGGTCTACAGAGTTCTGGATGAGTCAGGTGCTTAGGAAGTGCTTCTGGGATGACGGAGAACAGTCTCGCAGGTGTGTGGGCAGGAGGGCGTTCTGGTCCTTTTTCTGGTTATTTGCTCCCAACAGTCAGTAGGCAGACAGGGTGTGGCCTATAAAGTCCAGGCAGCCTCGACACCACAGTGGAGCTGGGCGCTACTGATCCTACGCTGACTCCCCCATACCCACGCTGTCCCTTCCACTGGGCATGTCCCCCCTCCTGGGCTCCTGGTTAGCTTCAGTGCATCCTTGAATGCAGCCACTCAGATGATTCGTGATGAGGAACCAGTGGTCTTCATTCCAGTCTGTCACATACGTGGTCCCACCCCACGTGAGCAGTACACCACTCCACCTGGCACGCCCCAGGCAAGCCCACCAGTCACTCTCATGGACACGTGCCCCATCCTGGAGACGAGGCCGCTGGCCGGTGCTTGGCCGCGACACTGCAATGTCGAGTGACTGTGAAGACGCCTGCATACGGCCTCTGTACCTGCTGGCCATGCACCAGACACAGTGATTGGCAGCCGGGGGAGCAGCACAGCCATCAGACTCAGCGTGGGGGGTGCCTGTCAGTGCAGCCCACGATCGAGCCAGGAGAGGCAGCTCAGTGGGTGTGAGAGCACTGTGCTCTCGGCGTGGGCTGCCCTTGTGCTCTGGATCAGGGTCGTTGCCAGTGTCTAACTTTATTTTGTGTCCCAGCTGAAATTTTCCTATAAATGAGCTAAGGCTTCGCTCCCCAAGACTTAAAAATAAGGAGCCGCCAGTGCCGCCACCCACCCCAGTCAGGATGTGGGTACAAGTTAAAGTGACACTCTTTATAACTCAGACTTGCAAAACAGAATGAGTCGAAGGCTGAAAAACTGACAGAACCATAATAGTTCAGATAGATTTGAAGAAAGGAGCTTATCATTTTTGTACGTATGGTTGTATATTTGCTACATGTTTAGTTTTGTGTCTCTGCCTTCAGATAGCACTGTATCAGTCATTTTTATTACTCCTTCCCAGCAATTAAGTGTACATTTTTTACAGGAGACAGAAAAGCAAAAGGGAAGACAAGCCATGCCCGAAAAACATGAAAATGAAATGTCTCAAGTGAAGCAAAAAAACAAAAAACTCTTCAGTATTAAGAAAGAAATCCCAACAGATGTGAAACCCAGGTGAGAAAAAGAAGTGGGTGCAGAGAAATGAGGTGTGTAAAGGCATTACCAGTGAAAGCTGGGCAGTGTTTTTGCTTGCTTGGTCTTTGAGGTTTGCAGCAAAAGCCCTGTATTACAGCACATTCCTCTTGGGTTTGTCTGATGCCTGCCGTCCAGCAATGAAGGCTGGCCGTGTGCTTCTGACGTCAGACACGTAAAAGGCAGAGGTAACACCTTGTGAAAATGTAGGAGGAAGATTGGTCGTTCATCCCCAGGCAGGGAGCCATTTCACGTCCGCACAAGGGTGACCGCAATGGTTTCGTCACAAGTGGGAGCAAGCGGAACTGAGCTCAGACAGCTCGGGCCCTGCTCTTGGGCCCAGAGCCGCAACTGCCTCTGGGATTTTGGGCCATCAACTTGGAAGAATCTGTGCCTAGGTAGTCAGGGCAGGTGTTACCCATCAGACAAGGTGCCATAAAATAGTCCATCCCAGGCATCAGCCCAGGAGGTCACAGGAATTAGGTATGAAGTAATAAAGAAAGACAGCGTGTTTATGATCATTAGAATTGGCCTTAGAACTCTTATTCTGGGACTCATACTTGAGCTTTGCAAAAACAGTGGTAACCTAGACTTTCTTCCTAGATTACACAGCTTAACAATCATGCAGGGCCAGTCTGTTCTGTAGAACCAAAGCTAGTAAGAAGTTAGTGATTTGCTGCAGTGAACGTTCACCTTGTCCCTGAACTTAGAAATAACACAGCATATGGCAGCGATTAGTAATGCAGTGTCTAAAATTTACTCTTCTGTGCAAATTGTTAGTTTGAGTGACCCAGTCCCGCAATTTTTGAGAACAATCTGACCCAGTTAGGAGTGTCACATGGAGTCACGGTTGACACCATGGATTGCTCCTGAAAGAAATCAGCCTGAGGCACTAATTGGTGCTGATATTCTGACCTCCCAGGACAGGAGTAATACTCGCTAGCAGCTACAAATTATTCTTCTAGGCATCTTTCATGCTTAGATGGTTGGCCAGGTATTTTAAAATAAATGAGGCTAAAAAATCCAAATTATGAAAATCCCTAGTTTTTACATAGGCAGAGATCTTATGAGAATAGACCTGCGATAATTCTCATGATCATAATTTTACAAACCAAGCTTCTAAGAATTATCTCACCAAAACCATTCCATGGGTGACTTTCACCAAATCTGCTTTTGTTTATTAGCCTGGATGCCTGAGCTCAGTACCTGGGACATATTTTCAAAACAGCTAGTACATGTTAATCTCACCCTCACCCCTCTTCTGCTGACTCCTGTTATGTCCTGATTTGTTATTTAATAAGTTGACCATTAGATTTGATGTTGAAAAGTTTATAGACGATTTCACTGGAGTGCCACTAACCTCGCCAGGGTTTGAGTTCTCTGGTAAACCTCAAGCTAGAGTAGCCGGTTCTCCCGCAGGTTAAAGGGACAGTTACAGTGACAACTCATGCTCTTTTGATATGTCATTACCAGAAGACAATTCAAGCAGTGTGCTTTAAATTGTCTTTATAACTGGAGAAATCCATGTGTAACCTTAGTCTTCTAAAGTCCTTAATCTAGTCTCTTAAGCCCACAGATCTTGTGTTTTTCTGAATTCACGAATAAAGATAGAAGTATTGAGTCAGAATTCATTAGTACTTCAATCAAATACGGAGTTAAACAAATAGAGATGTTTGTTTGCTTGTTTGTTAATAACCAGCAAGGTGGCCTCTCTGAATAGAGCCATTCGCTGTCTCCACTGAGTTAGGATGGTAAGTGCCTTGTGCTGTCATTCAGGCACAGCTGTCATTCAGGTACAGGCACTGCTGCTCGTGGCATTAGTGACACCTGAAATGCCTGTCACCTAACAAGACGTGCTTTCAGTGTGTTACTGTATGACGCCACATATCTGAAGCAAAAAGCTGCACTTTTTTTTTTTTTTATAAGATTTTATTGGGGAATTGGGGGAGGGGAACAGCGCTGGGGAATCGGGGAAGGGGAACAGACAAGTTGCTGTCCTTTTGTTCTTCAGTCTAGTTGTGGAGGACGTCGCTTCACTGGCCCATGTTGGTCATTGAGCTCCTCCTGGGTGAGGCAGATTAGTCACTGGCCACTGGACAGACGCTCACGGCGGCTCTTGGCAGCTCACGCCAGCTGCCAGCCACTCACACCAGCTGCCAGCCACTCATGGTAGCTATGGCAGCCCACTGCAAAAAGCTGCACATTTTTTAAAATGTATTATTATACTACCACTTTCTTTTGGAAGCTTTATCTATTGGCAATAAATGTTTATCTTTTTATCAGTTAGCCAAAAAGCTGATCTTATATTAATTAAACCTGTGACTCAATTCACATTTGCTTTATCAAAAATTAGTTTTTAAAAATTATCAGTATTATTAGAATGTTATGTTACATCATCACTAGGCCAGAAGACCCAAACCCTTAAATGCTGCAGCATTCATTTTTCTATAAGTCACTGGTGATAAAACCAAGGGATGCCTTATTCTCTCCCCATGCAGCCCTCCTGTCAGACTCCCAAGAATTGACATCACAGAAATCACTTCCTAGGTGTGTGGAGCACTGGGCTGTGACGGCGGAGACCTGCTCTGTCCGTTCTCCCCACCTCAGCACAGGTGTGGGCCTGTGGGCCTCCAGAAGGCTGGATGGGAGGTCGGGTCAGGGAGTGACCAGCCAAAGCCCCAGGAAGCCCTGGTTTAGGACACCAGCTGTCCGTTGGTCCTTTTGTTTTCTGTTTGTTTATCAACATTTTACATTTTCATAACTTAGATGTAGTAACCTAAAATAAGCAGAATATTTAATAAATAACTGTGCTCTAAGAATCTGCTGGTACAGCAACCTCAGCTCAGCCATGGGCGCCACACTGCACACTCCTCCAGACCCATCCCCACAGGGAACACCCTTGCCTGGCCCTCAACTCTCAGCCTCCTGCTTCCCCATAGGGGCCTCTAGCAGGTCCTACCTGAGGCCAAAGACAGCATCTGAAGGATCTTTCTAGGTTTCCCTTTTTTAAAAATTGCTTAAATTAGTTGGCTCTCATCCATTTATTCAGAAGCCTTAAAACAGGTTTCTTAATAGATATCATTTGGCTTAATTTAGGAAGGTATGAATCAGCAAAAATAAAGTAGTTGTCTGGCACCTTTTTTTTTTCTCAAAGCCAGTTGATTTTACAGTGGCCCAGAGTTAAAATAGACAGCCCCCACCCCCACACTTATAAACAACTTAAAAATAACTCACACACCACCACCAGAGGACTGGGTGTCTGTCATGGGAGCTTTTGTGTTTTTTATAAAGATGGAGTTTTTAAATAACCCTGTCCATCAGAAGTGGGAGAAGGAGGAAAGATGTATAAACCTGTAGCATTAATAGTCTCACCCACAAACAGTGGATTTTTTCATGTTAGTTTGTTATCCTGCCTTAAATTCTTATTGGGGTTAACCAAGGTCCTTTGGATTTTTGCTTAGCCCTTCTACTAATTCCAAATATAATGCCTATTCATGATAGAAAATTTGTGAAATATAGAGAAACACAAGAATGAAAAGAAAATGACCTTGACCTGGTACCTTATAAAATGTTTGTGAATAGTCTCCGTTCAAATACATTTACTGTTTATGAGATCATACTTTCCATGTCATTTTATGATCTGCTTTTGGGGGAGGTGGTGGGCTAGGTGCCATTGGATCTGGAAAGTTTGAGCCCCTCTGACCTTTGAAATCTGGTGTGAATTAGTCACCTTCTAGGAGTGAGAACTTGGGGCTACAACGGCAGGTTGATGATGTGGCACATTAAGAACCTGGAGGATGGGGCTGGGAGGCCTGAGTGGTGGTTAGAGGGATGGGGACAGGAAGTGCGCTAAGGTGGAAAATGCCAAGCACATCATCTTAAACATCCGCATCAGGTTTTTAATGAAAAGCAAGCTGTCAGCTCAGCCTTGAACTGGCCAGCTTTCCAGCCATCACCATGAACACGGTGGTTACTGATAGTTTTTGGAAGAATTCTCATAAGGCTCCAGGGTTCTGGACCAGATTTGCTTAGCTTCTGTGACTTGAACTTGGGCATTACAGAAACACTTTGCGAAGAATGTCTGTGTGGCCCATGTAGTCCCATTGTGGACACGCTTCCTTACCTGGGCCACCTGCCCAGTCCATTTCTCTGAGAGAGGGCTTCTCTCCTAGCAGACTGTAATATTTTCCTTCTTAGGCTGTGGAAGCTTCAAGCAGCCCAGCACACCTCCCATCTCAGCTGACAGGAAGTTCAGAGCCGATTAATTATCCCAGCTACACATTTGTATGATGTTAAACTCACCACTGAATCTTCTCAAAATAAATCAACAAAAATAGTATTTAAATTTTTGCCTAGGGTTAACCCTGAGTTCAAGAATAAAAAATAAAGTTCATCTGTCCCTACTCACCCTGGACAAGTACCACAGTCCTGCCTTGTAGTGGATTTTTATAGGTAACCCAGGAACTCAGCCTGGTTTGGTCCCTAGTTTCTACAGCAAACGTGTTCAGAACCTTGACGTTAGTAAGTCTGAGACGTTTCTACATCTCCATATTCAAGAACCCCACCAGTGGTCTAGATGCCAAAGTGCAGGTGTGGCTGCCGGCCCTGCACATTACCTGGGCAGGTACTCTGGCCATCACGTTTGTTGTCTGCTCCACTAGGCCTAGCCTCCTGGGCAGCCTCAGCTGGTACTGAGTCAGGACAGGCTGGGAAGCCAGTTTAGGAAAACGCAGCTGAAATTGTAGCACGGTCAGTGCCTCTACTCTCTGTTCCAAAACAAGGGCATGAACTTGAATTTCCCTCCACACTTGTCTTTCAGTTGTTTAGAGCTGCCATACCCGCCACCGCTGGAAAGTAAACCACGGAGAAACCTCCCAACCAAGATCCCTCTCCCAACTGCATTGACGAGCGGCTCCAAACCACGGGGTTCCCAGAAGACAAAAGGTACTTTTCCTCTTGGTCCTATAGATGCTGCCATGATTGGTTATATTGACGTTGTTAGTTTGTCATTTACCAATAGTCATTCGTGGTTAGTCAGTCATGTAAAGGCTACAGCCATCTTCTTGTCCTCGGTGGAAGGGCCATTAAAGCAACCTAAAGAAAGGAACTACCCCTGTTAACAACTTCCTTTTCTGGTTCTGTGCAGGTACAAATAAGTTAGTGGAGACCAGGCCGCCTGCCCTAGCCAAGTTTCTCCCAAGTAGTCAAGAACTAGGCAGCACCAGCAGCTCAGAGGGTGAAAAAGACTCCCCACCGCCAGAGTGGGACTCAGTGCCAGTCCACAAACCCGGCAGCTGTAAGTATGGGGACCAGGGACCATTCTGGGCATGACAGCTATGCAGGGACATCTTGCTTTAAAAGGAGACCTAGTATCTGGTTTGCTGGAGCCAGCTTGTACCAACAGCAAAAGCCCATTGTTAAACGGTCTGCCCGCTGTTGAACTGTTGGAGCGTAATTGGCCTTGATAAGAGTGTGCACTCCAGAGAAACAGCAACGATTCACATTGGGACTTTGGATGCCCAGAAGCTGGTGCCCCAGCACTCCACTGCCCAGTGTCCAAATGGGAAAGCCTCTTTGGAGCAAGGAATCATCCAGAAAACAGCTTCTTTATGAGCGTTAACTCTACAACCCTTACCTGCTTTGTTCCTTACAGTATAATTGTTTCTATAAACATCAGCTCACTCTCAACTTCCCCCAAATCTCTTCCATCACCAACTACGTGAAGGTTTCATTACTTTTTCCTCACTAGCTTCTTAACCTAGTTTCTTGGATTTGACCTGCAGTAAATCATGACAGCAGACAGTCTACTAAACTAAGGTAGAGGTCTTTGACAGAGAGAAGACAACAGAAGACGAGCGCAGAGCAGGGGGAACCTGAGGGCGGGACTGAGGGTGCAGAAAGGGCCACCTTTGGACTGGGTGGTCTGCACCCGCTGCACTATTAGACTTATGCACACTTGACCTGTTTGCACCAAAGGTAAAAGCAAGGTTTAACAACAGGATTCTCTGCGGTGAGGGGATTTCTATGAAGTTGGGTGATTGAAGCCTCAGTAAGGTGGATGGAGGCAAAGAATAGAATTTCCAGTGAGGGGCACAGGTGTGGGCAGTTCACGAGGGGGACGGGTCACTTCTGGGGATATGTGGGGAGGTCAGAAAAGGTGTCTACAAGAGGTGGCTAGGCAAGTGTCAGGATCCTGGTACAAATAATGACCGCACAGTGTAGATGTGTCAGGTAGGCCCACTGCTGGGGGACTTGCACAGAGGGCAGGGGGTGGAGAGATTGAACAGGGCTCAGGCAGGAGACGGTGTTTGGATGTATGTGAGCTTGGGCATCGGGTCAGCAAACAGCAAAGCAGATGAGGAAAGGGATTGGCCACATAATCGGGAGCGAGAGTGGGTGAGGGGCGATGAGGACAGTCAAAGATAACTCCTGAGGCAGGCACAAGGTGGCACTCAAGCTGGGGATGGGTAACTTGGGCTTCAAAGAGAAGGGTGCTTTGCTCGGCAGTGTCACAGTCAAGGACATAGGCCCTGAGCCTTGGGGTCTGGAGGGAGGCAGCTGGTACAGGAGAGAATCTCAAGGGAGCAGGCTTCAGCCTGGAAATGAGAGAACAGACCCCTCACGGACATCGGAGTAGAACAGGCTGTCCTCACTGTAGGCAGGACTTGTGTGGGGCATGAAAGGCCACCAGAAGGGGACCAGGAAATGCACAAAGCTGGACAGATAGGAGAAACAAGGGTAGTGGGGCTGGGCATCTGTGCCAGGATATCTGGGTGAGTGAACAGCCTCAAAGATGGGAGCCCATGGAGACTGAGTTCACAGAGGCCCACGCTTCTGTGTATCAGGTGGCTGGACCAGCTCCAAGGTACACATGGTAGTCGTGCAAGGTGATGTCTTTTTTTAAATACTCTTTTACAATTTTTTATTTTTAATTACAGTTGACCTACAATATCATATTAGTTTCAGGTGTACAACATAGTGATTAGACATTTATATACCTTATGAAGTGGTCCCCTGATTAGTCTAGTACCCCCTAAAAGCTCAGGTAGTTATTTCCGTCTTATTGACTATATTCCTTATGCTGTACTTTCCGGTGACTGTTTTGCAACTGCCAATTTGTATTTCTTAACTCCCTTCCCCTTTCTCACCCAGCCCCCAACACCATTCCCATCTGGCAACCATCAGTTTGTTCTTTGTATTTATGAGTTTCTTTCTGTTTTGTTTATTTTGTTCTTTAAATTCTACATATAAATGAAATCATATGATGGTATTTATCTTTCTCTGTGGCTTGGTTCACTCAGCATAATACCCTCTAGTTCCATCCATGTTGTTGCAGATGGCAAGATTTCATTCTTTTTTATGGCCAAGTAATATTCCATTGTATATATGTATCACCTCTTTATCCAATTGTCTGTTGATGGACTTTTAGGCTGCTTCCATAGCTTGGCTGTTGTAAATAATGTTGCAGTGAATATAGAGGTACATACGAGATCTGACAATTAAGTTCGCGACCTTACTGCAATGATGTTGCTAACCTTTTTTTATATCAGCAGGATTATTCATTATGAATTTGTACCAACTGGACAAACAGCTAACCAAGTTTACTATTTGAAAGTGCTGAAAAGGCTGTGTGAAAAAGTTAGACGACCTGAACTTGTCTCCAACAGTTCATGGCTCTTGCATCACGACAGTGCACCAGCTCACATGGCACTGTCTGTGAGGGAGTTTTTAGCCAGTAAACAAATTACTCACTTGATCTTGCCCCCAATGATTTCTTTCTTTACCCAAACAAAAAGGAAATATTGAAAGGAAAACATTTTGATGATACTCAGGACATCAAAGGTAATACGATGACAGCTCTGATGGCCATTCCAGAAAAAGAGTTCCAAAATTGGCATCAGTGCGTAGCTTCGCAAGGGGAGTACTTTGACAGTGACCGTAGTGGTATTCAGCAATGAGGTATGTAGCACTTTTTCTAGGATAAGTTCGTGAACTTAATTGTCCAACCTCATATGTCTTTTTTAATTAGTGTTTTAGATTTCTTCAGATAAATACCCAGAAGTGGAATTTCTGGGTCATAAGGTAGCTCTAGTTTTAATTTTTTGAGGACCCTCCATATTGTTTTCCATAGTGGTCATACCAATTTGCAATCACCAACAGTGTATGAGGGTTCCCTTTTCCCCACATCATCACCAACACTTATTGTTTGTTTATTTATTGATGATGGCCATCCTGACTGGTGTGAAGTGATATCTCATGGTTTTTATTTCCATTTCTCTGATGATTAGTGACGTTGAGCATCTTTTCATGTCTGTTGGCCATGTGTATGTCCTCTTTTGGAGAAATGTCTATTCAGGTCCACTGCCTATTTTTAAATCAGATTGTTTTATTGATGTTAAGTTGTACGAGTTCTTTATATATTTTGTCTTTAACGCCTTCTTGGATGTATCATTGGTGAATATCTTCTCCCATTCAGTACGTTAATGGTTTCCTTCACTGCAAAAACTTTTTAGTTTGATGTCGCCCCAATTTCTGTATTTTGTTTGTTTGTTTTCCTTGCAAGAGGAAACATATCCAAAAAAATATTACTAAGAGCAATGTTAAAGAGTTTTACTGCTCATGTTTTCTTCTAGCAGTTTTATGGTTTTGGGTCTTACATTTATGTCTATAATCCATTTTGAATGCATTCTTGTATATGGTGTACGGAGATAGTCCAGTTTCATTTTTTTGCATGTATCTGTCCAGTTTACCCAGCACCATTTATTGAAGAGACAGTCTTTACCCCACTGTATATTCTTCCCTCCTTTGTCATAGATTAATTCACCATGTAGGCATGGGTTTATTTCTGAGTTCTCTATTCTGTTCCATTGATCTGTGTGTCTGTTTTTATGCCAGTGCCATGCTGTTTTGATTTCTATAGCCTTGTAGCGTAATTTGATATCAGAGGTGATACCTCCAACTTTGTTTTTCTTTCTCAAGATTGCTGTGGCTCTTCAGGGTCTTTTGTGGTTCCATATAAATTTTAAGATTGTTTGTTCTAGTTCTGTGAAAAGTGCCACTGGTATTTTGATAGGGCTTGCATTGAATCTGCAAGTATAGATTGCTTTGGGCAGTATGGACATTTTAACGATATTACTTCTTCCTATCCATGAGCTGGGAATATGCTTCCATTTATTTCCTTTTCTTCAATTTCTTCTTTCAGTGTCTTATAGTTTTCCCAGTATAGATCTTTTATCTCCTGGGTTAAATTCATTCCTAGGTATTTTATTCTTTTTGATGCTATTGTAAATGGGATTGTTTTTTTAACTTCTCTTTCTGGTAGTGGACATGCTTGTCTTGTTCCTGATCTTAAGGAGAACACTTTTAGTGTTTCCCCGTTGAGTATGACGTTAGCTGTGGATTTGTCATATATGGCCTTTTATTATGTTGAGGTGTGTTCCCTCTATGCCCACTTTAATGAGAGTTTTTATCATAAATGGATGTTGGATTTTGTCAAATGCCTTTTCTGCATCTATTCATATGATCGTATCTTTTTTATCCTTGATTTTGTCTATGTTGTGTATCGCGTTAACTGATTTGCAGATACTGAACTAACCTTGCATCCTGTGAAGAAATCCTACTCGATCGTGGTGTATGACCTTTTTAAAGTATTGCTGAATTCAGTCTGCTAATATTTTCTTGAGGACTTTTGCATATATGTTCATCAGAGACACTGGCCTACAATTTTCTTTTTTGGTAGTGTTTTTGTCTGATTTTGGTTTCAGGGTAATGCTGGCCCCGTAAAACGAGTTTGGGAGCCCTCGCTCCTCTTCAGTTTTGGGGAATAGTTTGATAAGGATAGGTGTTAATTCCTCTTTGAATGTTTGGTAAAATTCACCTGTGACGCCATCTGGTCCAGGACTTTGGTTTGTTGGGAGTTTTTTGATTATTGATTCCATTCAGCCTCAGAAGATTGTATGTTTCTAGGAATATATCCATTTCCTCTAGGTTGTCCAATTTGTTGGCATATAATTGCTTGTAGTATTTTCTTATAATTCTTTGTATTTCTGTGGTGTCAGTTGTCACTTTCATTTCTGATTTTATTTGGGCCCTCTCTTTTTTCTTGATGAGTCTGGTTATAAATTTTATCTTTTCAAAAAAGTATCTCTTGGTTTTATTAATCTCTTCTGTTGTTTTTTAGACTATTTTGTTTATTTCTGTTCTGATCTCATTCCTTCCTTCTACTCACTTTAGGCCTGTTCTTGTTTTATTTCTAATTTCATTGTAATTTTGATGTGGTCGTAGGAGGAGGTAAGCATGTCTGGCATTTACTTACTGTGCCAATTTGACACGTGTTTCTGTTTAGTGCATGCAGAAGAAATATAACACTAGAATTTTTTCCGTTTAAAATTTTTAGAATAGCTGTGTAGACGTAACCCTAAAAGGCAACAGGACTATATTAAGAATTTGTATCCTTGTAAACCAGGTGCCGGAGCACAAGGTATTATGTGGCAAACTTGGTGATATATTGCCCAGGGCTCTGCACCTGCCACAGGTGTGAACTTGTGTGGAAGCACACAGACTTCCAGTCCCACATGTGATTTCCTTTGCCTTTCCCTGAAAGACCTAGAAGACAGGGAAGAGGACCAGAACCATCCAGGGGGTCCTGCACACACAGCAGAGCAATGGGTGCCACTCATGTTTCCAGGAAGGCTGAAGAATGCAGAGAGAGGCAGCTCCCCTTGTTTTCTTTAAGCCTTTGAACAGAACACACATAAAAGGCTTAATTTTGTTTTTCTTTGTAGAGGTTCTTGTGTTCTATATAGTATCAGATAGAACACCAAAAGGAACTGAGTTTGAAGAGTAAAATACCACATGAATGACACCTTATGTTTTTACTTTCCAGCTACCGATAGTCTTTATAAACTTTCTCTGCAAACCCTCAACGCAGACATTTTCTTAAAGCAACGCCAGACCTCGCCGACACCTGCCTCTCCATCTCCCCCTGCCGCACCATGCCCACTCGTGTCCCGCAGCAGCTACAGCAGCATCGTCAACAGCAGCTCCAGCAGGTAGGCCCACCGGTCACTTCCTGTTCCTCGAACACGTTAAGTGCTCCAGAAACCTGAGGCGCCCTCCCATTGAACAGAAGCACTCAATGGCCACAGACTGCTGCCCTGCCTCACCTCCTGTGTCTACCATTGACAGTCGTTCGGCCTTTCACCTGGGGTCAGTTCCCCCTTCTTGCCACCATGGTAGTGCCCTACCCCAGCAGCACCCCCTTTCCTTCCCTTAGCTTCTATCACCCATGGACTGAAAATGCATCATTTTCATGCATCATGACTTATTAGAATTAGGTTCTCATTCACAAGTCAGCAGCACAGCCGGCAGCAAGTGAGGGTACACAGGAGATGTCCTGGGAGGTGTGGAGATGGGTTTATGGGGCATTTTTTTTTACCTTACGGAAGTTTAGCTCAGTTCACAAGACAGGACTGCTGCTGTGGGGGTGCTGCCGCAGTGACGTTCCCACAGCCAGGCGGGACACCTCCACTGCCACTGCTCAGCAGAGGCACAGCCACACTTGTGTTTGTCTGGCTTCTAGAGTACTGTAACCGCAGTAATGATGGGGGCCACGTGCCAGCATGATCTCTGCACCACACGGCTGTCATAGCATCTCATCCTCCCAGCAAGCACGGGTTAGGTACTGTCACCACCCCTGTTCTGCACATGAGGAGGTGTGCCTGCCTGGTTTTGAACTCTTGGCAGAAGAGGCAGTAGCTGCTGAGGCTGGTCAAGGCCGCCATGAACTCCTTAGCCTGTGTTGAGGGAGGAGACTTTCTAAGGATGGGTTCGCCATGTGTTGTTCCCTGTCAGGCGCTCACAGTCTCTTTGTTCACTGCCTGGTGGCCCCCTTCCCAATGCTTCTCTAAAGCAGCCTTTCCAATCCTGATCTCTTTAGTGGCTTTGTATTGTCTTACCCCCTCCCCCCCACCACACATCCCCTGTGTCCCATCTGACTGCACAGTCAGAGGTCCCAGAGCATTTCCATGGGCTGGCCACAGTGAAGGTGCTGGCTGCCTGGGCTCAGCCATGCAGGATCCACAGCCCTGAAGCAAGTGTCCCCAGGCCTCCACGGGCAGTGCTGACGAGGAATGAGTTGTTTTCTCTTCCCCTTTTCCTTCAGTGACCCTAAAACGATGCATCCAAATGGAAGCAAACACAAACTGGCAAAAGCAGCCTCGCTTCCTGGCAAGAATGGCAACCCCACTTTTGCTGCAGTCACAGCTGGCTACGACAAGAGCCCGGGTGAGTGGCCTGGTGTCACGGCCTGTCCCAGCAGAGCTGCAGGCATGGTAGACTTACCTTAGGCCTGATTTCCTTTGATTGACTCAGAGTCCATTGTTACAGGTGGGAATGGCTTCACTAAAGTTTCTTCACACAAAACAGACTTTTCCAGCAGCCTTGGCATCTCACACACTCCTGTAGACAGCGATGGATCAGACAGGTACAATAGACCATTTCAACCCAGCAGAGATGGAGAGGCTTCTCAGGGCGGGTTGGCATCCTCCATCCATACCTGCGTTGCAGGCATGTTCTTCCCTAGATTACAAGTCGGCATTTGCATTAGTGGTCCAGGCGTCTGGGAGTGTCTGGCCGGCGGGTGAAAGCAGACAGCCCAGTTGTTCTCTGACAGCAGGAAGGAGGCGCACACAACACGCCTCACCTGGCACACAGCAACAATCGTGTTCCTGTTTTAAATCTGTTCTCATCCTTCTCCGTTACCATGGCCTCCTGTAAGAAAGGATGGCATCTGATCATTAGAAACAGAAGAACAAAACTGTATTGGAGAGGAAGGAAATTGGAGCAAATAGTAGTATTTTGGAGCAAATAGCAAATTTATAGTAAATTATTGGCCATGCCACTTTGTTGACCCAGAGCCCCTGCGGTGGGCATGGTGGCGTGAGTGCCTCGCTGCACCTTCCCAGATACGTAACAAGTCATAACAGACAGGAAGCAAAGACCCCGTTATACCTGCTCAGCGCTAAAAGCAAATGAGCCCAGGATTTGAAATAGCTTCATAAATCTTCCATTACCAAAAAGTAAACATAAGGAAGAAAGCACTTTTTACTGCAAAACTTACTTTGCACAGGCTCTCAGCTGTGATAAGGAGCTCTGGAACTCGCTCTGCCTTAATCCTCTGTGGTAGAGAAGCTATTTCCCCGTTCTCCCCTCTGTCTTTGTGTTTAATGTTTGAGTACCCCCATTTGAAGCAGCACCTCTGGTTTGTGAAGCCTTACTTAATGGATCCATCTCCGCTAACCGTCATACATTTTGTGTTGCATTTTCCTCTTGTAACATTTAGCTCGGGTTTGTGGAGTCCCGTCAGCAACCCCAGCAGCCCTGACTTCACACCCCTCAATTCGTTCTCCGCCTTTGGGAATTCTTTTAACCTAACCGGTGGTGAGTGTTTAACACTAGACCTGTAACTAATAAGCCTGTGGCCAAAGAAGAAAGGAAGATGAGGTCTAGTTTTATGTGTTGTGGAGAAACACGCTGAGATAGAGAAGAGGGCATGATTGTCATGGAGTAGACATTTGTGAAAGATGCATTTCTTTGTACTTGCGGTCAGGCACCAGTAGACATAAGACACGTGGACTGACCTCAGGGAAGCGGGTCTGTTCTTGCTGTGCTGGGCAGATGCGGGGGCCCAGCAAGAACCTTTGGGCAGAGTCTCCTCCCAGCCTAGAGGTGCAGGGAACAGGCTTCAGGCTGTGTGGGTCCTGCTTGGTGTGTGTCCGAAAGGCGACTCCTGGCCACGCTGGGCTCCTTATTTTTCCTTGCTGTCCAGAATTAGAGGCATTAGCGTTAGCTGTGATAGTAATGTTAGAGTTGAGGGATGTTTGCATTTGATATCACCCAATGAGAGGTTTGGGCAAAGTATGCAAACTGTGTGTTGTATGCTTGAGTTCTGGGGATCTTCCCCAACACCCTCCCCCTCCCCCTCGCAGTGTGGTGGGAGCTGACGAAGTAGGTGTGATGGCTCCAAGTGAATGGAGGTGGGATAAGTGACACTAAGGGAATGCCCCATCCTCTCCTAGGTAAGCACGGCAAAGTAAAATACAGACTTGATGATTATGTCCTTATTTTCAGAAGTTTTCAGCAAACTTGGGTTATCTCGATCATGCAATCAGGCCTCACAAAGGAGCTGGAATGAGTTTAGTAGTGGCCCTTCGTACCTGTGGGACTCGCCAGTGACAGATCCCAGCCCTTCCTGGCCAGCCAGTTCCGGTTCTCCCACCCACACGGCCACAGTGAGTACTTTGGGCTCACTTGTCTTTAGTGCCGCTGACAGTTACTAACAAATGGCGGTAGCAGTTTGGAACGGGTGGGTTAGTACTGTTATTGTCTTGCTGTGTCTCTATATCTGCCAAAGTGACTCATTAGTATTCTTCAGAGCGTTACAGTCAAGAACTTATGGGAAGAGGAGGCTTCCAGTCAAGATGGCAGAGTAGGTAAACACTGTGCTCACCAGGTCCCACGACCACATCAGAATTAACTAAATGATAGAATAGCCATCATTGAGACCTCCTGAAGTCTAGCTGAACAGAAGTTCGATAACTAAACACATACAGAAGAAGCCACGTGGAAACTGGTAGGTGGGGCAGGGAGGCTCCCCCAACCCCACACTGAGCTCCCCAGCCTGGGACTCCAGTACCGGGAAGAAGAGCCCACCCTCACAACACCTGACTGTACAAACCAGTGGGGATTGCGTCCCAGAGAGACAAAGGGCTGCTAGAAACCAAGGTGCTGCTCTTAAAGGGCCTACGCTCAGACTCACTCGCTCTGAGCTCCAGTTCTGGGGCAGCAGCTCTAAAGGCGCCAGGGATATATGGGGAGAAACTAAATTGACTAGCTTTGGGATGAGGGTTGGAGAACCAAGGGTCACGGCAGCTATCTCGGGGGACAGAGCTGCCAGCTCATGACCTTCTTCCTTTGTTGAACTCGCCCCCCTACCCAGCCAACCCAGCTGGTTAGGCACCAAATCTGAGCTCTTTGTTAACCTGGCTAACATGCTTTGCCCCACCCTGGTGATGCCCTGGGACCCCACCAAACTCACCTTGAAACCTCTTGCGGGGCTCCTCCACACAAGTGCCCTGGCTCGGTTTGCACTGCAGACTTTCCTAAAATCTCTCAAAGGTTGGCAAACCCCAAAGAAGCAGCACCTGGCCTCAGTGTGCCCAGTGCCTTTTGCTGAGAAGCGCTAAACCTGGCATAAATGGAGACCAGTCTCAACTTGCATTGTAACTCCCATCAGGGAGGTCTCAGGCTGGCATAAGCAGCAGCCATCCTTGACTTGGAACGCAGCCTCTATTAACCCTCCGTCAGGCGCAACTGATCTCACAGATTCACTGCACACAAAGATGCCGCTATGAAATACGTCTTTACTGTACTAAGTCACAAATACAACTGGCAATAGGTTACAGTATAGAGGGGGAAGATACGGAAGCGATGAGTCATGATACTTAAGTTAACTGTTAGATATTTGAAAATTTGTATGCAGTGAATCTGTGAGATCACTTGTGCCCCACGGAGGGTTAAGTGGCCACAAACTCAGCAAAAGTGGCAGCGGGCCTCAGTTTGCAGAATAGACTCCCAAGTACCACCAAGCACAAGCAGCAACCAACCACAGATCACTTTGTAGCTCCTACTAGGTGGCCCCAAGGCAGGTTCAAGAGGCTCCAGACCTAACACGCCTGGTGGTCAGCTTCAGACCATACAGAGCTCCACCCAATCAGCTCCACAAGTGACACACCCAAAGAGTGGACTCGGCTGGGACCATAGCCTCCCTCTCTGTGGGGTCAGCCCCCACACAACAGCTTGTCCACTGTAGTCACATCCAGCTCTCACAGACAGTCAGCCTGAGGGTTAATCCCACCAATGTGCCAACAGCAATCAGGGCTCATCTACACCAAGAGGGCACAACCCACACAGAGGACACACCTGGAGCACCGAGCCCAGGTGACCAAGGAGACTGTACCACTGGCCCCACGGGACACCTGCTATATAAGTCCATTCTGCCATGACCGGGAAATGTTGTACATCTACCTAATACATAGAAACAAACACAGGGAGTCAGGCAAAGTGAGACAAAGAAACATGTCCTAGATGAAAGAGCTTCCAAGAAAACTCCAGAGAAAGAACTAAACAAAATGGAGGCAAGTAGTCTACCATATGCAGAATTCAAAACACTGGTTATAAGGTTGCTCAGTGAACTTTGGGGAAAAATAGATGAACTCAGGGAGAACTTCCAACAAAGATATAGAACATGTTAAAAAGAACCAGTCAGAAATGAAGACTACTGGGCCGGCTGAGTGGTGCGTTGGTTAAGAACTGGCTTGGGACACCAGAGGGCCCCGGTTCGGATCCCACATATGAGGGCCAGTGACACTGCCCTCTACAGCTAAGATGCTGAACAACAGCTCAAACTGGAGCTGGGCTGCCGTGGATCGCCAGCGACAGCATAGGCTGCAGTCCCCTGCTGCAGTGGGCTGCCATAAGCTACCTTGTGTAGCTGGCAGCCAGCAGTCTCCATGAGCAGCCGTCCAGAGTCCGGCGACTGATCTGCCTTGCCCGGGAAGAGCGCAATGATGGTGCCAGCTTGGGCCAGTGAAGCAACATCCTCCACACCTAGACTGAAGAACAGAACAGCAGCAACTTGTCTGTTCCCCTTCCCCTGATTCCCCAACGCTGTTCCCCTCCCCCAATTCTCCAATAAAAAAATCTTGTTACAAAAAAAAGAAATGAAGACTACAATCAGTGAAATGAATGCACTAGAAGGAATCAACAGCATATTACATGATGAATGATCTGGAAGACAAGGTAGCAGAAAACACCCATCAGAACAGCAAAAAGAAAAAAATAATTTTTAAAATGAGATCATTTAAGGGGCCTCTAGGACAACATCAAGCATACCAGCATTCGCATCATAGGGGTACCAGAAGGAGAAGCAAGAGAACAAAGGATTGAAAACCTATTTGAAGAAATAACGTTTGAAAACTTCCCTAACCTGGCAAAGCAAATAGACATACAAGCCCAGGAAGCAGAGAGAGAGAGAGTCCCAAACAAGATGAACCCAAAGAGGCCCACACCAAGACATATTATAATTAAAATGCCAAAGGTTAAAGACAAAGAAAGAATCCTAAAAGCAGAGAGAGAAAAGCAGTTAGTTTTCTACAAGGGAACTCCCATAACGCTGTCAGCTGATTTCCAAACAGAAACTTCACAGGCCAGAAGGGAGTGGCACAAAATATTCAAAGTGATGGAAAGCAAGGACCAAGATTGCTCTATCCAGCAAAACTATCATTTAGAATCAAAGGACAGATAAAGAGCTTCCTGGACAAAAAATAGCTAAAGGAGTTGCATCACTGCCAAACCACTATTACAAGAAATGTTAAAGAGATGTCTTTAAGAAGAAAAGATCAAATATATGAATAAGAAAATATAGGAAAGAAAATTCTCAAGACAAAGGCAAACAATTAAAAGCAGTGAATCAACCAACTATAAAGCTAGTACAAAGGTTTAAAGAAAGAAGTAGAAAGATCATGTGTAATTACAATAAGAACTTACGGGATACACACAAAAGGGAAAAATAATGACACAAACATGGAAGGGTGAGTGAGTAAAAATTGTAGTGATTATAGAATGTATTCAAAGTTAAGTGACCATCAACTTAAAATACCTTAATATTAACATAGCTTAGTATATAGGAAGTACATGTAACCACAAACCAAAATTTTACAAGAGATATACAAGAAATAAAGAGAAAGGAATCCAAAACAACACCATAGAAGGTTATCAATATACAAAAGAAGATAGCAAAAGAGTAAGAAAGTAACAGAAGAACTACAAAAACAAGACAGTTGAAAAATGGCAATAACTACATACCTATAAATAATTGCTTTAAATGTAAATGGACTAAAGTGAGAAGGGAGGAAATAATAAGATCAGAACAGAAATAAATGAAATAGAATCTAAAAGAATAAAAAACATCAACGAAACCAAGAACAGATTCTTCGCAAAGATAAAATTGATAAACCTTTAGCCAGACTCATCAAGAAAAAAGAGAGGGCCCAAATAAAATCAGAAATGAAAGTGACAACTGACACCACAGAAATACAAAGAATTATAAGAAAATACTACAAGCAATTATATGCCAACAAATTGGACAACCTAGAGGAAATGGATATATTCCTAGAAACATACAATCTTCTGAGGCTGAATGGAATCAATAATCAAAAAACTCCCAACAAACCAAAGTCCTGGACCAGATGGCGTCACAGGTGAATTTTACCAAACATTCAAAGAGGAATTAACATCTATCCTTATCAAACTATTCCCCAAAACTGAAGAGGAGCGAGGGCTCCCAAACTCGTTTTACGGGGCCAGCATTACCCTGAAACCAAAATCAGACAAAAACACTACCAAAAAAGAAAATTGTAGGCCAGTGTCTCTGATGAACATATATGCAAAAGTCCTCAAGAAAATATTAGCAGACTGAATTCAGCAATACTTTAAAAAGGTCATACACCACGATCGAGTAGGATTTCTTCACAGGATGCAAGGTTAGTTCAGTATCTGCAAATCAGTTAACGCGATACACAACATAGACAAAATCAAGGATAAAAAAGATACGATCATATGAATAGATGCAGAAAAGGCATTTGACAAAATCCAACATCCATTTATGATAAAAACTCTCATTAAAGTGGGCATAGAGGGAACACACCTCAACATAATAAAAGGCCATATATGACAAATCCACAGCTAACGTCATACTCAACGGGGAAACACTAAAAGTGTTCTCCTTAAGATCAGGAACAAGACAAGCATGTCCACTACCAGAAAGAGAAGTTAAAAAAACAATCCCATTTACAATAGCATCAAAAAGAATAAAATACCTAGGAATGAATTTAACCCAGGAGATAAAAGATCTATACTGGGAAAACTATAAGACACTGAAAGAAGAAATTGAAGAAAAAGAAATAAATGGAAGCATATTCCCAGCTCATGGATAGGAAGAATTAATATCGTTAAAATGTCCATACTGCCCAAAGCAATCTATACTTGCAGATTCAATGCAATCCCTATCAAAATACCAGTGGCACTTTTCACAGAACTAGAACAAACAATCCTAAAATTTATATGGAACCACAAAAGACCCTGAAGAGTCACAGCAATCTTGAGAAAGAAAAACAAAGTTGGAGGTATCACCTCTGATATCAAATTACGCTACAAGGCTATAGAAATCAAAACAGCATGGCACTGGCATAAAAACAAGACACATAGATCAATGGAACAGAATAGAAAGCCCAGAAATAAGAATATACAATGGGGTAAAGAACGTCTCTTCAATTAATGGTGTTGGGAAACCTGGACAGATAGATGCAAAAAAATGAAACTGGACTACCTTCGTACACCATATACAAGAATGAATTCAAAATGGATTATAGACTTAAATGTAAGACCCAAAACCATAAAACTCCTAGAAGAAAACACAGGCAGTAAACTCTCTGACATTGCTCGTAGCAATAGTTTTTCAGTATGTCTACTCTTGTAAGGAAATCAAGTGAAAAAAAATAAACAAATGGGACTACAAACGAAAACGTTTTTGCACAGCAAAAGTGAGGTTGCGGACCCTGCTTAAGTTTTACCATGTCCAAGGTCGGGCTGAGTGCCGCCTTTACTATGTACGTCTTGCGGCAACTCAGGCCCCACAGAAGCTGCCAGCGGGACACTGCTTTTGTTTCTGAGTAACACCTGTGTCTTCACCTGAGCTTTCTAGTGTGCATTTGTTTGCTTTCAGCTAACTGTTTCTGTGAAAACCATGCTCTAGAAAAGTATTCTTCCCAAGGAAAGTCATCACTGGCTTCAGTTTTCACAAAATTAATGACAAAAAGATACAGTCCCACTGTAATTCTTCATTCTCAGGAAACTAAATTAGATAAAACTAGTACCGTTAAACCTTGCTTAACTTCGTACGCGTAGACTCCCAAGTTTGTCTCCATCTGTAAGCATTTTGGATTGTCTTAAAAGCATCTCAAAGGGCCGGCCGAGTGGCTCAGTTGGTTAAGAGCTCACTCAAGAGTTTGAGCTCTGAGCAACAGTGGTTCGAGTCCAGCCCAAGCTAAGCAGCCGCTGAGCTGCCAACAGGTAGCAGGATGGCTCAGCTAAAAAAAAAAAAAAAAAAAAAGCATCTCAACCACTCCTTAAAACAGGTCAGTCAGTGCTCTAGGCTGCGCAAGCCACACTGTCCCAGTCTGCCACAGGGGCCGGCTGTCGTGACTGTTGGGTGGGACTATTTACAGGGATAGGCAGGGCTGGATTCGGGTCCTGTAAAATATCACAACCATGTGCTCAGACTCTGGAGGGCTGTATGAATAATACATTTGTTATAAAATACATACTGTGAAAGACCTGTGGCCCAGTCCATTTTCCACATCCCCTCACACCTGCCTGTCTGCCCGCCCATCCCGCACCCCACGCTCACACCACATTGTGTTTTGTTTTGCCAGTCGATCCTGGGCAACACCAGCGGTGTGTGGTCCAGCACTCCGTTCAGCAGCTCCATCTGGTCCAGCAACCTTACCAGTGCCCTGCCCTTCACCACTCCAACCAGCACGCTGACCAGCATCGGCCTCATGGGCACAGAGAACTCTGCTCCTCACCCCCCTTCCTCCTCCGCTCCGGCTGAGGACTTGGGACAGACCTACAACCCCTGGCGCATATGGAGCCCCACAATCGGAAGAAGGAGCTCTGACCCATGGTCGAATTCACACTTCCCTCATGAGAACTGCAATTAGGTGCACACACAAAAAAAAAACAGTGGGGCCCCTCGTCTAGATCATATGCCAGCTTCTGAGACGTCTCTGAGGCTCTCACTGCTGTAGCATCCCACACCCCTCCCCCATCTTTGCAAAACAGACTCAAGCAGGGCAGGCTTGGACCACTCGCTGCTTTCAGATCTTTCTTGCAATTATGATAACGTGAGATTTGCTGTTGTGCTTTAGAGAAAAGTCTGAACTTGGCCACAAACTCTCATAAGACCTGTACATCTGAAAATCTTAACTGTTACCAATTTTCCACCACCAGTCTTCTTCCATTCTTTATCTGTAGGAATACAAATTTGCCATTTCAGCTAAGGAAATAATTTTAGTTGATTCAGAAGGCCTGGCATGTGACAATTTTATTAAATTACCAAGTACTAAGTTTGGTTTTTAATAATTTCACAATATTATGCGCCAAGATCTAATTTTAAAATTGTATGAGGACTTTATGCTGAAAAATACAGAGTATTTTTTTAAAATAAGGCTGTCCTGGTTTAAAAGCTGATTACAGAAATGTAAGTCAACTTGAACAGTGAATGAATGTGAAAACATTCAATTGAGACCATCTGCATTTTCTGTGCTGTTTGTACTTGAGGTATGTAACATTTGTATACCTGAACTTATTTTAAAGATAAACCGAAATGCACATAGCCCAGTCTTGGTACAAGATTGAGTGTGTATTTCTTAAAAGTACAACTTTGTGTTGTACTTTGAAATAAATGATGCTTTTTTCAAAAGCCTTGAATTGTTGTGTGTTTTCCTTTTTATACATGCGAGGTGCATGTGTGTGGATACTCCCACACCCAGTGAGCTGTGCTGACACTGACTTCTATGGCGTTTGATTTATCACAGCTGGAACCTCTGGGGTCTAATTAAATTCTGTGTATTTCCATGGCAATCACTGAAGGTCCTTGATAGGAAAAGTTTACACATCTGAAATTTATGTTTCCTTTTAAATTGAAGTGTGTTGACTGCCTTCCAATTTTAAAGCTTCCTCAACTCCTCCAAATGGTACCTGTTGAGACTACACAGATAGCATGCAAGTGTGGTTTGCCAGGGTACGTAGGTGGGGTTTTCTTTCAGAGTTACCTGCTCCAATTTGCTCCTATTTCCAGTCTGTTTTAAAGTCAGCCTTTGGACACACAACCTTTGCTGGGTAACCAGGAGAAGCTAAACATAAATGTTGTTTGAGGTCAAGTACATCATGAAGAACTCCATCCATCCCCAAGAAGGTCAGAGAGGTTCAGTTGAAACTTTGTACTGAGTGGTGTTGAGTCAGCTCAGCAAACCAGCCACAGCGCTTCTCTACCTTGTGCTTTGTCCCTTGGGGACACTAGAGCCCTCTGCAGTCAGGGCCCCTAGTGGACCTGGACTTGTAGTCTAAATGGCAGGGTCTGCTGCGACACTTGGAAAGTCAGAACACACTTAAGACATGAAAATCTATGCCAAAACAAATAATAAGGTGTTATAAAGCTATGAAAACAGGTGAGCATCATGTAAACCCTCATTTACAAAAGAAAAATGTTGGCACATTTTGCCTCCATCAGGGTATCTTGGGCTCCTGAACTTGCTCCTTCATAAGAATCACCTGAGACTCCCATATGGCTGCCTTTAAGTTCTCACTGTACCCTGGGCCGCTCTTATCAGTGGGACAGAGGAATGCCATACACTTGAAAAGGGTAAGAAATTCATCTGTCACCCCAACTTCTAAGATCTGCACCTGAGGAACAAGCCCCCAAAACCTCTACCTTTGGAAGCCAACAGGGCACACATCCACATGACCCATGCAGACTCTCCTACCCCAAGGCCCAGCACAGACACAGCCAACTGAAAAGTGACCAGATTTTGTGTGAAAGAGGCTTATTTGCTTATGTTAACGCATTGGCCTGAGGGGCAGGCCTCTAATTTTAACATACATCTATGTACCTGCTGAAGTACTCTCCAAAGACAGACACCATCGTTATCCCGCTTCACTCCCAAGTCGCTAGTGTCTCCCAGAAAGGTGCTTTTATACTCATCTGGCACCCAAATTTGTGGTTGCTGCCCAGGGAACACCTCCTGATCCCCTGGCTCTGGTCACCAGAGTGGCTTACATTCATGGTCCCCACAGGACTGTAACAAACAGAAGGAGGTCACTGGCTACCACCCCAGGGCACAGCAGAAAGGCCACAGACTGAGGTGCCAGGCTTTCTATAAAAGTGACCTATTAGCTCATTTTCTTAGCTGTGGCCTGAGGGGCAGTCCTCTACACACACATCTAGGGGCCAACTGTAATGTGCAGAGACTGGGGAGGCCAGCTGGTGCCACCTGTGTGCTCTTCTGCCCTGCCCCAAGTTGTCACCGTCTCCCAGGAAGCTTGTGTACACATCTGGCACCCCAGCTTTTGTGTCTGCTGCACAGAGGACACTTCCCTCGGTAGCCTGGCTCTGGTGCCAATGAGGCTTGTGTTCACAGGTTCAACATGAGGATAGAAACAGTTCTTGCCTGGCTATCACCCAGGGATCAGTGCAGAGGGAGTAGACAAAAACACCGTCTCTCAGTCTTCCACTGAAAGGGGTATATTTGCATATTTTAAGAGCTGCTGCCTGAGGATATGGTTTCAAGTCAGCCTGAACCTAGGTACTGACTGAAATCCTTCCCCCCACCCCCACTTTGGGAGACTGACAGGTCTTGGCACACCCTCAACTACTCTGTGCCACTAAAAATAAAGTAGGCTGCTTGGACAGTCACACAGGTTTGAGAGACAACATAGAGGTAGGACAGGATTGAATAATAAGCTTTATCTCCTATGTGAGGCCACTCCTACAAGACTGGGAATGCACAGAAACGAACACAGAGAGTCAAAGAAAATGAGGAAACAAAATAATGTGTCCCAAATGAAAGAACAAGATAAAACCTCAGGAAAAAAAAAAAGAAGAAAAAAAAACCTTAATGAAAGGGAAATAAGTGAGTTACCTGATAGAGTTCAAAATAATGGTCATAAAGATGTTCACTGAGCTCAGGAGAAGAATGGGTGAGCAAGTGAGAATTTCAATTAAGATAGAAAATATAAGAAAGTACAAAATAGAAGTTACAGAGCTGAAGAACACAACCAAACTGAAAAATACACTAGAGTAGTTCAACAACAGACTAGATGAGACAGAAGAAAGGGTCAGTGAACTTAAATACAGGGCAGAACTCATCCAGTCAGAGCAGCAAAGAGAAAAAAAGAATGAAAATAGCTTAAGGGACTTATGGGACAACAACAAGGAGGCCAGCATTTGCATTACAGGAGTCTTAGAAGGAGAAGGGAGGAGAGGGCAGAAAACTTATTTGAAAAAAATAATGGCTGAAAACTTCCCTAACCCAGGGAAGGACACAGATCCAGGAATCTCATAAAGTTCCAAATAAGATTAACCCAAGAGAGAAACAACAAGACATAATTAAAGTGTCAAAAGTTAAAAGACAAGGATAAATATTAAAATCAGCAAGAAAAAACAACTTGTTACATAAAAGGAAACCCCCAAAAGACTATCAGATTTTTCAGCAGAAAATTTGCAGGCCAGAGGGACTGGCAAGATATAGCCAAAGTGCTGAAAGGAAAAAACTGCCAAGAATATTCTACCCAACAAAGTTGTCCTTCAGAATTGAAGGAGAGAGAAAAAGTTTTCCAGAGCAGCCAAAGCTAAAGGAGTTTATCACTATAGTAAGTCCCCAACTTATGAACATTTGAGTTGCGAACTTTCAGATACGAAGGGACTGCGCATTACGAACATTCGTAGATGCGAACAAATCACGGAAGTAACTCACGTGTGTGAGCTCAGGTGTGGGCCAAATTCCATCTTGCCCTCCATCTCCTATTGCTGATGATCCTTCAGCTCCACCGTCTCCCACCTACCCCCCCTCCTCCAGTTAGTAACTCTCTTCTTGTCAGTTCACTCCATGCAATCCCCTATGTGCCAGTTGTACTGTACCACCACTTTAAGGTAACTGTAAAAGTAAAAAATAGTTTATTTACAGTATTTTTGTGTGTGTGTTTAGGTTTTTTTATGCTCTACATTGTATATTTGTGTCAAAGGTGTATAGGACACTTTGTTGGACTTACGAACGAATCCGACTTACGAACGTTCTCCCGGAATGGAATTCGTTCGTAAGTCGGGGATTTACTGTACTAGACAGGCCTTACAAGACATGTTAAAGGCACTTCTTTAAGATTACTAATTAGTAATAGGAAAACCTATGAAAGTATAAATCTCACTGGTAAAGGTAAATACAGAGGGTGCCAAGAAAATGTATACACATTTTAAGAAAGGAAAACTATTAAAATTGTAATACAGTAAAACCTTGGATTGTGAGTAACTTGATTTGCGAGTGTGCCTCAAGACGAGCAAACATTTCTATTAGGTTGGTGCGAAAGTAATAGGGATTTTGGCCATTACGCATAATAGCAAAAACTGCAATTACTTCACCAACTTAATAATACATTTTAACTTGGTAAACAAGCGATGTCTTGCAATATGAGTAGTTTGTTTCCAGAACAAATTATGCTTGCAAACCGTATTCAATATATACTGATAATAAAAGATGAATACAAGTCACATTTGACTTCTGCAATTACAAGAGGTGCTCAAAGTGGTTACCATCAGCATCAGAAGTGTCTACTTCTGATTACAGCAAACTACTGCTTGAACAAAGTGGACCAAAGTGTCGACTTGTATACATTACTTTTGGCACCTCTGGTATATAGTAAAATTCAGAATAATGTTGTAAAGGTGGTGGGTTAATGTAATAATGGTGGGTTTATGAAGGTTAAAAGACAAAATAGTAAAAATAACTATAATTTGTTATTCGATACATAAGATAAAAATATGTAAATTGTAACATCAAAAACACACAAATGTCGGGGGGGTAAAAATGTAGAACTTTAGAATGTGTTCAAATTAAGTTGTTATCAACTAAAAATAGCCTGTTATAAATATAGGTTGTTTTATGTAAGTCTCATAGTAACAACAAAGCAAAAGCCTATACCGTGTTTCCCCAGAAATAAGACCGGGTCTTATATTAATTTTTGCTCCAACAATCTACATTTATTCATTTATTTATGTACAAAAGTCTACATTTATTCAAACAGTCATGACTGGCTGATGATCTTAACTGGGGCTTATGTTTGGGGTAGGGCTTATATTACAAGCATCCTGAAAAATCATGTTAGGGCTTATTTTCCAGTTAGGTCCTATTTTTAGGGAAACACAGTAGTAGAGACACAAAAGAGAAAGCTAAAGGAATCTAAGCATATCACTACAGGAAATCATCAAATCAAAAAGGAAGACAGCGGGGCCAGTCAAGTGGCTCAGTTGGTTAAGAGTTGGCTTAAGAGCGTGAGCTCTGAGCAACAAGGCCGCCGATTCGATTCCCACATGGACCAGTGATACTGCGATTCTGTGCCCAAGCTGAGCTGTCGCTGAGCTGCCAACAGGTGGCAGGATTGCTCAGCTGGTATAACAACAAGATTGCCTGTTTGATGGTGGGCTATGCCCACCCGCAACTAAGACTGAACACAGCACCTTGAGCTTAGAGGCCATGAGCTGCTGACGGGAAGCCAGATGGCGACTGGCACCCTCCACAACGAAGACTGAAGAACAACAACTTGGCCGGTCCCCTTCCCCAGTTCCCCAACACTGTTCCCCTCCTCCAATTCCCCCAATAAAATCTCAAAAAGAAAAAAAGGGGGAAAAAAAAGGAAGACAGCAAGAGAAGAAAGGAACA